ACAGAAAACATCCTCATTTTGTTATATATGGGATTAACATATATACTTTTAAAAAACAAAATTGTGATTCTATTGTATAGCAAGTGTATCCAGTTCTTTCATTTAACGTTATGAAACATTTTCATGTCTTGTGATTACATATTCTTTAAGACTTGGTGAGTTGAATGAGTTGAATAGCATTACTTTAAGAGTAATATAGAGCAAAGTCTGAATGTCTCCAATGGGTTTCTTAGCTATGTGATCTTGGATAAGTTACTGAATATTTTTGAGCTTCAGTTTTGTCATTTGCAAAATGGAGATCTTAATAGTTGTAATGAAGATTTAATGCCCTGGTGCATGCAAAGTATGTCCTGTGCATTAATCACTAATCTAAATGTTAGCTACAATTTCTGATTTCTTATAGCTCAATACTATTTCTTCCTACAGCTACATTGTACTTTATTGGACTGCACCCCCAGTTAGATGTATTGCTTACTAATTCAATCTTAAACCATTTGCCTGACTTTCAGGATTCCTTATAACCTAGCCTGACCTGACTCACTGTATTTTTCACAATTTAAATTCTCCCCTCTCTGTAACCAATTTCTTTCCAGCTGCTTGTATTCAGTATACTGATTTTCACCTTATCTCCCTTACTTGAGGTTGCCTAGTGTTGTTTGTGTATACAGATCATTCCTGGGTAGAGGTGAAAGCTGATTCCATGGGGAACTCAGCAGCTGGGTTGAGCCCTCAGAATCAGTCCAAATGAGAGCTCAGGGCTGGTTCTTTATGCCCTACAGTAACTCATAATTGGAAGGTCTCAGTTGAGGACCATCAGCCACCAATACTCAGCTGGGGAAATGAATAGTTCAGTCCTGAAAGGGAATCTGGTGGCACACCACAATGTCCATTACACTTGCTTCATAATACTCTCCATCTTTCATTGACTTGAATAAACCTTTTCTCAGTTATATTACTTAGATAGAGCTATATGCTAGATGTCAAGGCTGAATATCTAGTGATGATACATAATGCAATATATATTGCATTAATAGGAAAAGTACTACAGGAGCCAACCGAAAGAGCTAATGACCCAATCTGGAGCAATTTGAAGAGCATAATAAAGTACAATTGGATTATAGTCCAAAGTATAAAATATAATATCCACCATGAGTTTACATCATTTTGAGTAAATAATTGAATACATAAATAAATGAGAAGAGATAAATCTCTTATGCAGAAGAATTCCAAATAATTTATATCTAAAACATCCTCAAGGAGATAGAAAATAACTTGTTTCTTCTTAATCATGGGCTACATATAATGACTTCTTTCCCAAAAATACAGTGGAAAGCAGCAGGATGCAGACTAACTTTCCAGTGGAGAAACCTGACAAACACTATCTCAGCAAGCTCAACATCAGTAGTGATGACATATTGATATTATAGACTCTTGCTATGATGTGATGAAAATGGCACTTTTCCTCTGTGGTCTTCCTGCAAAAATCCAGTAGCCACAGTCTAATCATGAGGAAAACATCAGGCAAATCCCAACTGAAGGACATTCTATAAAACACCTGTCAAACTATGAAGGTCATTAAAAACAAGGAAAGGCTAAGAAAATGTCACCGCAAAGAGGAAACATGATGACTAAATGTAATATAGTATCCTAAATGACACTCTGAAATACCATAAGGACATTAGATAAAAGCTAATGGACATGAAGTGTGGGATTTAGTTGATGATAGCATATCAATATTAGTTCAATAATTGTAATAAATGTAATACTAATGTAAGATACTAATAATAGGGGAAACTGGGTATGGAACACTATAGGAACTTTCTGTGCTATCTTCTAATTTTTTTTAACTCTAAAGCTATTGTAAAAATTATGTTAAGAAGAAATACTATTACCATATGACCCAGAAATTCCACTTCTGTGTATATATCCAGAAGATTTGAAAGCAGGGTCTTGAGGGGATATTGGTACACCCATGTTCATAGTGGCATTATTTACAATATCCAAAAGGTGGAAGCAAGTCAAGTGTCCATTGATGGATGAATACATAAACAAAATGTAGTATATACATTGCCATATTTTTATTTAAGGCTTTATTCAGCCTGGAAAAGGAAAGAAATTCTGACACATGTTGCCATAGAGATAAACTTTTAGAACATTATGCTAAGTGAAATAAGCTAGTCACAAAAAGTCAATTACTATATGCTTCCACTTATAAACATATCTAGAGTAATAAAATTTATAAAAACAGACAGTATTAATGGTGATTTTCAGGAGTTTTGGAGAGAGGAATGGAGGTAGTAGTTTAATGGGTATGAAGTTTCAGTTTTGCAAGACGAAAAAGTTCTGGAAATTGGTTGTATAACAATATGAATATGATTAAGAATACTGAAATACATGCTTAACTATGATTGAGATGATAAATTTTATGTTTTTAACTATAATTTTTAAAAACAGCTACTATTAAAATTACCATTTTTAGTCCATTAGCCTGATGAAATTGATAGTGCACAGATATGGTATATCTGTTTCTTTTCAGTTTATGATCCTCAGTACCCTATTTGATTAATTATTCAGTGATCTAAAACAGTAATGAGGTTAAGCCAGGTAATCAGTATCATCCAAAAGTATATGCAACCAATGCTCATCCAAAAGCCCATATAAAAGTTACCTGGAAACCAGCAGGACATAATGCTCATGATAATTCAGAGGTTGAAGGAGAGAAAAACATGGGTCAGCTGCATTTTTTGTTGTTTTTTGTCTAAAATAAAAACTTTATTGAGCTGAAGTCACCATGCTAATTATATATTAAGTTATATTTGGTTGATATCTTTTATTTCCTCTTTGCAAACAAAACAGACATCCTATTGCATATACTTTACATTTCTTTCATTTAAAAGCCTGCAACACAATGACAGAGAATAGGGTCATATTTTCTATTAGTGTCCAGTGATGTCTGGAGATATTAGCAAAGTTTTGAAGAAGATGGATTAATATCTGTGCCACATATAGCTGTTGAGTTAATTTAAATGGTAGGTTCAGCCAACTGAGATTTGTCACTGTTTTGAGCTCCCTTTCCTTTTTCCCACTCGTTTAGGTTCAGAGTGTCTTTGACATCGAAATATATTAGAGTATAATTCCTTTGGTGTTCTTTTTCTTTGAAAGCCAAACCAGACTCTTTAGAACATCACATTTCCAAAAGAAAGCTGTAAGACTTAAGAGTGTGATCACAGATACCTCTTGGGTCCCAGTCTGTATTTAGTGTTAAACAAAGAAAGCAAGTTTATACTTTTGCAGATCTTCAGAGAGCATAGTAACCATATATTTGGAATTTCATTGTATGTGATCTTCTGTAAATCTCAGAACAACCTGGAGAGATAGGCGGGATTAATATTATTATGCCATTTGATAAGCAAGGCTCTGTCATTTACCTCCAAGAAAGGAGATGAATCCTCAAAATCAACAGCTGAAAAATAGGTGAGTTGAAACTAGAATTGAGGTCAGTGCTTCTGCCTTTATGTTACAATGCCCTTAGGACATCAGAAGTGAAAAAGAGAGTAATCAAGCTGTTTGAAAACTAACTTAGAGTGGCTAACATAACGCTGTTGACATTTAAGGAAAAAGATAATTTATTTGAGAATCATAGTGAAATATCTCCACCATATATAGTTCTTGGGTTTTATACAAATTGGAGTTCAGTTACTGTCCCAACGTGAAAGGTGTATGCAGGATGGATTGGAAAGGGAATGGCTCAGGCCAGGGAGACTAGTGAGAGACGTCATAACCCCGAACAGTGGGCGGTATGGACGAAGCTACGGCTGGGGAGAGTTGAACTAGATTTGCCTGTGCAAATGGAGTTGGAAGGAAAAGTGAATTGATGAGCATTAAAAGCCTTGAATAGATAGAATTTGATGGTTTATTAGAAAGAAATAGGGAAGAGAAGACAACAGCCAACATTGATCCTTGAATACATAATATAAAGGTAGACTCTTCCCTGCTCCAAATAACACTAGTATTCAGATATCTGTCCTATCTATCTATCTATCTCTATCAGCAGAGGAATATTGACATTACTGTCCCACATTTAGAAAAAGAAAAAGATGCTCTTCATAAAATGAAAGAAGTGTGGCTCTTTTGTTTTTAACATCTAAGCATTTACTATGTGTCTGCTCAAATGTGTAGACTGCCTGGGTGACAGGGCACCTGGTTAACCCAGTGATCAGTTGTGGTCACCTCCATCAGAACCGTATATGTAAATGAAAATAACTAGGTTTTTAAATGGGGACTTTTGACATATAAATACCTAAAAGAATATGATCAGAAAAAAATATGCAAGTGGGTTGTCTATCTATTCATAGCAAAATGTTAGGTTACCTCTTGATGGTGAGGCATTGTGCATAGCCTATATTTTATTGGATTCATTTCTCTCCAAAAATTGCAATCACTATATCTTGCAATTGAGAAAAACAATGTCCTTGCTCCTTGGTATTTAAATTCAAAGATGAATGGTTGCAGGGATATGTTGCTTTTTAAATCACACATTTGAGAAAGACTATCACCTAGTGAATCTATTTTTCAGTGGAAATGTGAAAATCTAAAATATATATGTTTATTGCTGTCTTGTTGATTTTACTATTTAGTAAGAATGTCTCTGTTCATGTTCCACAGTTTTAAAGCAAAACACAAGAAAGACTGCTCAGAATACAATTGATATGTTTGAATGGTGAACAAAATAACAAAAAGAAATACATTACTTTTTTATCTGGGTGTATGGAGCTGCTTACCCAAGAAAATTTGTCCTGCTCTTGCTATCAGCTAGAGAAACTGAAAAAAAAAAATGTGGGAAAAGGAATATAAAAGACAATGAATGTTTTTAAAAAACATATGACATTTGGTCTAAATTAGACATTTTTGTCTAAGGAACAACTTGTTCTTTTTTGCAGGAGACAAGAAACTAGAGATGTTTATCTTAATACATCTTTTCCTGCCTTTGTTTCCTTCAGGAATCGTGCTATACTGAAAACACACTTGATCAAGAGAACTCTGGGAGAGGCCAGAAACCCTGTCCCAGGGACAGAAAAGAAAAAGTAAGTACATTTTTCTTCCACTGATCTTGGAACATATGGAATAACATATTGAAGATGTTCCTAAAAATATATTTGTTGCTGTAAAGCCAGATGACAGCATACAAAATGTAAGGTGGGATATCTTCCTTTTAGAAGACAATGTAGTTTAATATAAGGCTGACAGAAGTTAATTTCTAATTAATGGCAAACAATACATACTGGGACCTTGAGATACACATTTTCAACTTGCATCTGCCAGGGATAAGTGATTAGTAGAGACTGAGCTTGGTTTGACATTTCTACTCTTAGCTGTGCCTATTTTAATGGTTCTTAGTAGAGGCAGCTAACCCCATCAGAATAATGTTTTGAAATTTATAGCCTTTAAAACAGAAGAGAAATTCATACTGCCTATCAAATCTTACAAACTGACTGCTTTTCCCATTACTACTCTTCTCGGAGACCATATAATAGAATTATAATAATCTGTACCTACAATTAAATGTTCTTGATGACACTAATAGGTAGATATACACCTCAAGTTAATACTTTTTTGAGAGACAGGTTTTTGTGTGCTGGTGATATATATGTATATAACACAGATATCTGTCCAATTATCTATCTATCTATCTATCTATCTATCTATCTATCTATCTATGACAGATATTTGTATATGTTCATACTGGCCTACATCAGTAGTACATCCTTTGAAAACTGAGGCCACATTCATATTGCAGTCTTATCAGTATTTCATAAAAATATTAGGAGTTTGTAACACAGAAACAGAAAGCCAAACACTGCATGTTCTCACTCATAAGTGAGAGCTGAACAAGGAGAACACATGGATGCAGGGAGGGGACCATCATACACCCAGGACCCGTCAGGGAGTGGGGTGTAGGGGAGAGATACCATTAGGAGAAATACCTAATGTAGATGACAGGTTGACAGGTGTAGCAAACCACCATGGCACATGTATACCTATGTAACAAACCCGCACATTCTGCACATGTATCTCAGAACTTAAAAATGTAATATAAATAAATAAATAAATAAATAAATAAATAAATAAATGTTATTGGTCTGGTAGAAATTGTATTTGAGAGCACCTCAATCCCTTAGTGGTACATTCTCCTACCCAGAGTGACAATCTTGCTTCTCCACTGCAGCTTAGATGATGAAGCAAGAGGTAAGCTGCAGCCTGAGGGAAGGCTCCAAAGTTCTTCACTACCTCTCAGATTCCTTTGAGAACACAACTCCAGAGGAGCAGGAAGGAGTGGAAGACATTACATTTGGTTTAGGCTCATTGCTTGGTCTTCTTAAAACCAGTGTACAACTTTCCTATTAACCTTCTGTGATTTTGTTTAAACATTGGCAGTAGGTTCATTTCCATGGCTCATCAAAGCATTTTTACTTTGATGTGAACATTTATATTTATGTCTAAAAATAAAGAATAGCATGTCTTAATTGACATCTACTTTTATTATAAAGTAATTTCACACAAATTTTATCAGAACCATTTATATCTCTACATAAACCACTAGAATTCCTTACTAGGACAAAATAAGTCTAATTATAAATATGAATTAATTTTGTACTTAAGGAAAATTAAAACTAACATATAAAATAATTATTTGGTCTATATTGTGGGCTGAATATACAATGGTTTATAAGCATAATCTTATTTGATTCTCACAATAACTGTGAAGAAGGTAAGGAAGGCATGGTTATTTCCAGTGATACAAGCATACCTTGCCAAATGCACACATTTAGCAAGTGGGTGGCGAAGTTAGGACTTGAGCCTAATTTTGTCAGATGCATAAGCCTATGTCCTTGACCAGCTTGAATAGAAAGGTTTGGCAGGAGCTAAAACACTACATTTAAATGACTGAAGTGTCTTGTTTTCATCAGCTATTTATAATCAATTATTAAAAATATACACTCTTAAGGAACAAATTATCCCTATACTCTATGAATTCTTTGAAAGAGAAAACATTTTTCTGATTTATTTAATAAGAAGCACAATACTAAAAAAGTCAAAAAAGAAAACTAATAAAAGTAACACAAAAAAGAAGATAATAATTTATTGAAATACCAGCTAAAGCAATGTAAGTATCAACAAAATAGAATAATAAAACACATGGTGTTTATCCTAGGAATGTGAATGTGGTTTAGTATCAGGAAACTTATTAAAGTGATTTCATAGTCATAGGCCAAAGAATAAAACCAGTGTTTTAACTTTCAAATAGATTTCATATGACATTTGATAAAATGCAACTATATTTCTTTTAAGAAAACACATATACATGTAGTATAATAATTTAGGAATAGAGAGATACCATTAAAATATAAAAAAGTGATTTCAAGAAAGCAGAAAAACCCTAATGGCTTATTACATGATCAATTTTATCACTTATAGTTAATATCATTTAACAAATTTTAACCAATGGAATTGGTTAAAATATTTGTTTTCAAAGATAAATATTTTCTGAATTCTTCTCATATATGCTAGAAACTATTCTAAATGCTTTGTAAATGTTAACTCATTTAATTCTCACAACAACCCTAGGAGATATGGACTACTGTCATTCTATTTGACAAATTAGGAAGCTGAGGCCAAGAGATACTAAGTAAAATGGCCGAGGTCATGCAGCTAATAAGTAGCAGAGCTGAATTAAAACTCCTGTGGTTTGACCCATGAGTCTTTAATCATAAATATTATGTTATGCTGCTTCTCAAAGGTTATAATAATTAGAAAAATGGTTACATCATTTTTTCTTAATATATATATATATATTTTACTAAGACACACTATGTCTTAGTTAAAAATAAAGATGAAGTTCTAGTAAAGACCAGTGATAATCCCAAGAGAATTAACTGAAGAACCATTAGGGTAATGAACTTTGTTAAGTAACTATACAAAAGATAAATGTGTAAAAATCAGTTCATTTTTCTATGACAGCAACAAATAAAAAACATGAAAAAAATCTCATAATAGCAATTAAATATCACAAAGCTATGAATAAACTATTAAAGAAATGTGAAAGGCTTAAATTAAGAAAATAACATTTATTGAGAAACACAGATAAACAGTTATCTGTTAAGTATGTTATGCAGAAAGAAAAATTAGCAGGAATGAGGTTTATGTTGTAGTCTTGGGTGAGAATAATAGATGTTGTATAGATGTTAGTTTCCTCAAATTAATTTATAAAGATAGTACAATTTCATTTAAAATCCCAAAACGTTTTGGGGGAGAGCTTGGCAAAATGATTATTAAAATTCATCTGGAAGCATAGACAGTCTAGAAAAGGCACATTAAAAAAAGAAATATAAAACTTGCTATTTCACAGTATTAAAGCATATTAAAAAGTTACAATTATTAAAACTGTTTGGTACTATTTACTAACATAGAAACTTAGAGAAGCCAAACCAGTTTGAGAAATCCCCAAACAGATCAAAGCACATGTAAAAGTAATGCACAAGAAAAACCACATTTCATGTTGATGAAGAAAGTAATGATTGTTCAAAAAGCACAACAGCAATAATTAGTTAATGTTAAGATAAATTTGGAAATTTTATTTATACAATATAAAAATACATGTCAGATTGATAAAAGCAGAACAAAGAAAGAGACATAACTGTAGAAAAATAGATTGGCAAATAATTTTATAATCTTGTCTAACATGATGTCAAGGACAAAAATTATAATTGGAGATTGATAGACTTGATTGTAAATATATTAAAACTGTACATATAAAATAGAGAAAAGACTCAAATAGCATGAACATAGTAAGTGTTTGAAAATTGCTTTTACTTGTTTTTTTTTGTATGGGAAAACAGAATTAATAAATCAGTAAGTTCTAACTAACGTTTTAATATGGTACTGTTTGAAGGCTTAGTAAAGCAGAAATTGTTCTGGGATAGTACTAATTTGGTATTTTAACTCCTGAAGGCACACAGCATCACAGAAATTTTTGTGTGAAGAATACATACTACATCTTAGTTAAAAATAAAGATGAAGCTCTAGTAAAGACCACTGATAATATGGAAAAATGAATTGTTCCACCTAAAACAATCAATTAAATTTGTCTCAGAGTATCCAAGAGAATAGAGGATTTCAACCAGACAGTTTTATAATTCTTACATGTGCATTTTATTTCAGTAGAAATTATTTGCAACCTTCTGAATTTTAATAATATGTTAAAGTAAGTTATCTCTAATAAAAATGAAATAATTCCATTTCTGTCTTGAATAATGCAGTAGAAAATTGCAGAGTAGTGACACAATGATACAATTTGGAGAGAAATATTTCCTATTTTATTAAAGTTGATGATATAAGAAAGATTGTTTGCCTCCTTCCAGAGTACCTCTGCTCTTTCAATGCTGGGAGCTCAGAGGAAGTATGAAAGGAAAATGCATAATAAGTAATGACCAATAATTTTTTATAGTTTTAATTTAGGTAAAATGTTGAAGATTATACCAGCCTGTACTATACAATCAGTTAACACTAACACTAACAAAATAGCAATTTTATGTCCCAGGCCCTGTTAGCATAATTGCTAGACTCTAAGCTCCAAATATCTCATGGAAAAGACTAACCAGTGGGACCGTGAACTTTCTAGACTTTCTGTTCACATCCAGCCCCTATCCCTGATTGTGGCCAATGCATTGACTCCTGTTCACTGCTATTCCTCCTGAGGACACACACTACTTCATGCCCTCCTGCTAGCAGTCTCTCAGCTGACATGGAATCTGCTACCCCACCTGTGTTGCCCTTTTGTTTCAGGGCTCAAATTTCTCGAAGTTCTGCATTCAGCCATTCACCTGTTTCTTTCTAACCCTGACCATTGTCCCTGTATTGAGTTTAGTACTTCAACTCTCTTTATCCATCCACCTTAAAGAGTATCTTCCCTACTTACACAAGGACTAGGACTGTTAATAAGTGGCTTTTTGCCAAGCAAGGTCTTGGTCCTAAGGTTTGGCTAACAGCCACATCATTGTCCTTGCCATAAGAACTTTTAGGTATC